ATAAGAATTGTTTTGGTCATGATGTCTTCTCACAGAAATAGAACAATAACTTAAGACATAGGTGTAGGTAAGCTATCATATCAAGTGGAACGTGGATCTTTGATGAAGAGAATCTATAGCTTTTTAATTTCTCCCAAGTGAGGGCAAGATATAGAATTTGAAATATCAGCCATAAGTCCAATGTTGGCTTTTGTTTCATTTTGTTGTTGGGGTTTTTTGTTCTTGTTTTTGTTTTTTTATCTCACTGTGTTGGCTAGTTGGAACTCTATGTAGACCAGGCTGGCCTTGAACTTTCAGGAACCCACCCACCTCTGTCTCCTGAGTGTGGAATGGCATGCATCACCATGCCAAGCTTGCCATGAAATTGTTTTTTTTTTTTTAATTTTTAATGATTTATTTCTTTTTATTTTATGTGCATTAGTGTTTGGCCTGCATAGATGTCTATTTGAGTGTGCCAGATCCCCTGGAACTACAGTTACAGACAGTTGGGAGCTGCCATGTGGGTGCTGGGAATTAAACCCTTGTCCTTTGGATTTAAACACCTGTCCTTAACCACTGAGCCATCTCTCCAGCCCTGCCATGTAGTTCTTAAAGATCCTGTGCACATAACATACAATTGTGGCTCTAAACTTTCTTCACGACCCAACCATTTCTCATGTCAGCATTTAAGGGAAAAAAAAGCCCATCAGGGAGGCAGAGGCAGGTGGATCTAGGTGAGTTCAAGGCCAAGGCAAGCACATGGCCCTCACCATACTACTAACTGGCATCTGCTAGATTTTATTCTTGGCACTAAAACATCTATTTGTTTTTTAAATACAGATATGGTAGCACACATCTGTAATCCCAACATTTGGGATTAGAGGCAGGAGGATACAGAGTTCAAGGTCATCCTTAGCTACATAGCTACCTGGGCTACCTGAAGTCCTGTCTTTAAAAAGAAAAAATTAAATGACACTGATTTAAGTCAAAGAGGTAGAAGTTAACTTATACTGGTCTTTATACCCACTGGCTTCACGCTTTGCTAGTTTGTAAGAATTTATATCTTGACCTCTTGTGTGTGTGTGGGGGTTCCTTTTATTGGAAATATAAAAATTAAAAGATAGCCGGGCAGTGGTGGCGCACGCCTTTAATCCCAGCACTCGGGAGGCAGAGCCAGGCGGATCTCTGTGAGTTCGAGGCCAGCCTGGACTACCAAGTGAGTCCCAGGAGAGGCGCAAATCTACACAGAGAAACCCTGTCTCGAAAAACCAAAAAAAAAAAAAATAAAAAAAAAAAAAAAAAAAAAAAATTAAAAGATAACAAAACCTGAATTGCAATATCTAGTTGGGGTAAATAATGACAATGCACTCAAAACAGTGAAAGAAGGGAGTATATGGCAACTGCCTGAAACACAGGGACTGAACCTGGACAATAAAGTAACACTTCTTAGGCTTTCTGGGGGTAGGGTGTTAAAAACAAACACTGGTCAAATGAGGCAAGTCTTAAAGTCATAGCTACCTGTCTGGAGTTAGGCACTGTTAAAAGATATGAAGTGATTCATAGTCTTACAATTAGGGTAACCCAAAAGGGAGAGATAAAAAAGTCTGATCACAAGGAAATACAACCTCCAATCAAAGGAAACAGCCAACAGACATGCAGAATACCAAGTTTAAAGCACCTGATTAATAATGCATCCAAAAGTAGAAATAAATCTGAAGACTACCAGAAAAGGGCTCTGCCCAAAGTGGCCCACAGACAGCAGTGTGATCAGGGTTGGTAGGAGTTGTAACAGAGAAGAAAGAAAACAATAAAATAGGAGAAAAAGAGAAAATGAAAAATAACTTGTACATGCCTTGTAGATATGATGGTTTTGGCTCTTAGTGCTGAGGAAAAAATGATCAAATAATAAGAACTAAACAAAAACAAGAAGAGATTTTAGCTAAATATTATGAACTATTTTCTAGTTCTCTTTAACTAGACTAGAGACTACAATATTTTCCTTTGGGGAAAGAATAGCATAAATGAAATATTGAACACAAAGTAATGTCTCTAAATTAAGGCAAAATTATGTTAAATCAAGTCAAACTTTGATAACACTTCATTGACTACATTTTAAAATAGAAGCAACTTTTGCCTTAGAATTTTCATTTCTGGGAAGACAGCCCACAGAAATTCTCAAATCTTTGCATAAAATTGTAATAAATAAGAACGTTTAATGAAGCTGTGCAATGGTTGAAAACTAGAAACAACCTGAACATCCATCAGTGAATACACGCTTCTGTGACTGTGCAACTGTTAAGTGAGGCGGATCTGTATTGACTGATACAGAAGAGGCTGGGGAATTATGGAAACCACTGTACAAAAAGCACAGCTCTGCCTGCTCTTGTCACACTCCTCTACATGTAAATACAATGCAAACAAACACCTTGGGCCGGTAAGACGGTGGGCGAAGCTCTTGGCATGCAAGCCTGCCCACTTGAGTTTGGTCCCCGGAGCCCCTGAGAAGGTGGAAGAGAAGCTCTGCACAACAGTTGTGCAGTCATGTCATTTCCACACGCACCAGGTTGCATGCATACACTGACACACACACACACACACACACACACACACACACACACACACACACACGATAAAGAAGTTTTTAAAAGTCCTCAAAAAAAACTCTACCATATCCTTGAACTTACTTATTTGTTTTATTTAGATAGGTCCCACTCTGTACCTGGCTGGCCAAGAACTTATTATGTAGGTCAGTCTGGCCTCCAACACAAAATGTCTATTATTTATAGTTTAAATGGTCTGAAATCATATACATTGGATCATTAACACTGGACTCTTTTGGCAGAATAACAGCAATGTGAGATAGAAAAGGGTCTGATATAAAGGGACATTCACTTTTTGCTACGTTTATTTTCATTCATTTATTTATTTATTTTTGCTATATTAGTTGAGTCTCTTTTTTTTTTCTTCTGGGGGGGGGTGAATTGGTTTTTCAAGACAGGGTTTCTCTGTGTAGCCCTGGTTGTCCTGGAACTTGCTCTGTAGACGAGGCTGGCCTCGAATTCAGAGATCCACCTGTCTCTGCCATTTGGGATTAAATGCATGCACCACCACTGCCCCACAAAACTGAGTCATTTAAAATAAAAAGGTATGACTTTTTTTGACCTGAGTATCTCAGTATGTAAATCCCTCCTGGCTTGACCTTTCTTCTGCTTCCTGTCTCATCTTACAGTTCTAAAACTACAGGTATATAGCACTATACATGGCTACATTAGCTTTGATTGTTATAACTGAGTCTTGGTCTGGTATTAAACTATTTTGCCCTCTCTTACCGTATCCCAGATTTGCAGTTTGATTTGTTTTCCATCAATGTTGACCATTCGGGCTCCAAACTCCACACCTGTCAGTGAAGGCCAAGAGAATGGACATAACTGTCATGAACACATACATGTTAATATGGAGGCTCATACTTTTCCCCAAAGTGTTATAATGAATCCTTTGTCATCACTCACTGACATTCAGTTCATTACTGCTGCTTATTGCTCAATTAAGTTTGTATTCCTTTTGGTTTCTTTTCTAGAATTAAAAACCCATGGGCTGTGGGATGTAGCTCACTTGATAAAGTACTTGCCTAGCATACATGAGGCCCTGGATTCAATTCCTAGAGCCAAATAAAATTGAGCATGGGGTTGGAGAGATGGCTCAGCAGTAAAGGCAAAGCATGTGCTGCTCTCGTAGAGGACCAGAATTTGGTTTCCAACACCCTCATCAGATAGCTTTTAACTGCCTGTAACTCCATGGACATCTGCGCGTGCACGCGCACACACACACACACACACACACACACACACCACAAAACCCCTTCACTGGGCATGACAGTACATGCCTGTGATCCCAGCTCTCAAGAGGTGGAGGTAGGAACACTAGAATCAGAAGTGAAAGGTCATCATCACTTATATAGCAAGTGTAAGGTCGACCTGAGGCTACACAGGTTAAAATAAAAATCATATCCTACAGCTGTATGCATAACTCAGTGGTAGTGCAATTGCAAAAGACACAAGTCTCTTGGTTTAATCCCTTGCACCAAAAATAAATAAATGGATTCTAAGTGATAATATATCCAAATGTAGATAAGGGAATAAAGCTAATTAAAATAAAATAAATACAGATATTCTCACTGTTCTGATTTTATTTTTTTTTTTTTATTTTTTTTTTT